GTAAAGCAGTGGAAGATGATCAGTTATTGGGTCTCTCTTTTTAAATCCCTATCACTTAATGGGTAACTCTTTGAATTAAAAACTTTTTTGGCTGAGTATGGTACTACATGCCTGTAATCCCAGCACTGAGGAGGCTGAGTCAGGAGTATTGCTGCAAGTTCAAGTCCAGCATGGTTTACCAAGTGAGTTCAAGCCCGGCCTGAACTGCATAGTGAAACCCTGTCTCAAAAAGACCAAACAAACAAATAAAAATAAAAACTTTCTTGACCCTTAGTTCTCTTATTTGTGAAATGTGTATACTAATAATTTCTACCTTTTAGAGTTGTTGTGAAGTTTAAATAAATGTGATGCTTTAAGACAACTTGCAGCTTCTATTTATGTGGGGTTTTTTTTTTTTAAATTATACTTTATTTATTTTTATGTATTTTTAGTACAGGGTCTACAAGATCTGGCTCAGTAGAATAAGTGCTTGCTTGGCAAGCGCGGGGTCCTGAGTTCAATCCCTGGTAATGCAAAAAACCCCAAAAACTAAAACAAAAACCAAAAAACAACTTTTGGGGCCAGGGAGATGGCTCAGTAGAATAAGTGCTTGCCTGGCAAGTGCAAGGGCCTGAGTTCAATTCCTCGTTCCACAAAATTTGTTTTAACAGGATCTATAGTCTCACTACTTAGATTGGATTTGTAGTGATTCTTCTGTTTGCAGCCTCCTAAGAGCTGGGATTACAGGCATGTGACACCACACACAGTCTCAATGACCATCTCAGTGTGCCCCGGGGGTGGGGCCAGTAGAGCACAGTGGCTACTGGGCTCTGCCTAAGCAGGCACTTGAGTCCACTGAGCTATCTGGCCAGCCCTTTGCTGGTTATTTAAGCAGCAGTCATCTGTTAGGAGTGTGCATCTGTGACATATGACTGTGGATAACTGGATTGTGACATATATGGTGTACCTTTGTTTAAGGAGAATAAACATCCATGCTCTCTCCCCCCTCCCAGGGTTTCCTAGTCTTGAACTACTGGCTACATGGCTACCAGATGCCTAAGGGAGTTCGTTCACAGCTGAGTTATGAAGCTGGAATTGGTTCTAGACGCTGGGTAGATGCAAAGCAGCCTCACTCTTCAAGTACCGACATTTCTCACCTCTGATCCCGGCTCTACTCTGAGAAGGATATTTTAGCTTCACCGACTTCAGTAGAACAGAAGCCCACTTCCTACCCCCATCAGTGAAAAAAATCTAATGCGTCAAATGTAAATTGTTCATGTAAAGGAACATAACAGTCTGTTTTATGGAAGTAAATCGACCATCAAGAGAAGACTTGGCCTCTATAATTTATAATGCTTTGCACTTTGGTCTGATATTAAGAAGCAGCATTCTTCTTCAGTGAAATTTTGGGTGCCAAACACCTACCCAGAATGTCCAGGGCTTTCCTTTCAGAAGTTAGTATTCTCCTTTTGACTGTGCAAGTCATTATAAATTTTGACTTGTATTAGGAATATACATGGTGGACAATGGAAAAATCTCTCTGGATTGTTTTAGTAATATTTTTTGGATTATACTTTCTGTACCAGTTTCTTTTAATTTAAAGAACTATAAGCCAGCTATATTATCTCTCCATAGGTAATATAGCTCTTTTCTTTTATTAACTTTTCTCTGCGCTCAACCATCTCCTGATATTTGGTAGAGTAACACCTTTATCATATGCTTGCCTCCTAATTTAAATACTGTATCCGCATGTAGATATAATGTACATAACAGTTTAACCTCAAGGTTGCTGGAGTCAGGCCCTTGTGCCTGAGACACTAACACAGAGTGTGATCGCACTTAGCCATGGGCTGGCCTCGAGAACCTAATACCAGGGTTGATGTGGATGACCTAGAACCCTTCCTGCAGTATTCATATGGTATTTTTATTTTGTCACTGTCGTGTGTGTGTGTGTGTGTGTGTGTGTGTGTGTGTGTGTGGTGTTTTTAATGGGAATCTTGTTTTAAAATCTAACTTCTAAAGTTTTAACACAAATAAATGTTTTATTTGTTATGTAGGATATACAATAGAGAGGTACCTTCAATTTTTTGTTGTTTTCTCGTAAGTACTCCTGAGTACTAGTGGTCACCTCCAGTACTGCTCATTAGGCTTCTTTGTCAAAAGCCATCTTTCTGTGCAGGTATAACCCTGAGAAGGGAAGAACAAGACGGCCCTCTAAACAGGGCCTCCTACTCTGCTACAGGGTCCACTGGTGTGCTGGAGCATGTAGGGCAGGGCAGGCTGCTCCAGAGGTCAGCACGGAGGGCAGGGCTATCTCTTGTGGGGCACAGCCTCAGGCCCAGGAGGCCCATCCCACCAACTCTGCTGTCACCTGTTGCTGTGGCCCCTGAAGGCTCTCAAAGCTCTGAAGTGCTCTGCAGCCCAAGCTTAGAATGGCACTGTCACTTCAATCATGCATGGAAAGGATGTTGGCATTCGGTCAGCATTCCTTTTTCCTGCTTCAATATTAGGTTTTGATTTGCACTTCGCCATTGTTTCCAAAGATCAAGGAATGTCAATCCCATTTTAAAGGACCAATAAGTCACCTGTGAATGCACCCTCTTGCAGAAGAAGCACACTGTCCTCCTAGGAAAGGTCCCTGGGCTCCGTCTGTCCTTTGGATTGAGAAGGGTGTGGGGATCAATATGTGTGCATGTGCTTTGTTTGTTGAGTTGGCTTTGCTTTGTAATTTTTCTTTTGCCTTTTAAATTTTTCTTAAATATATCTTTCTTGCTTACATCCTACTAATTTCTGTTTTTGAGAGGTTGAGTCTCAAAAGTGTAAAAATAAACCTCCATTCATAAGGTGGATGCTGTATGCGTGACAGTAGTTGTGGAAGTAATTTGACTTTGACGGCTCTTCATGTTACAGCTTTTTTGTCAGACTGGCTAGGAAAGCCCAGGGGGAAGAGGGATGGGGAAAGGGGCGGAGACGTTTTTTTTGGAACGAATGGATTTATTTTGTTGTTTTTTGCATGTTTAATATAGAAGTTCCTCTTGTTCCTTGGGAAGCCATGGCCTTTGAATGTGCACACAACCTTTGAATTGTGCCTACTGAATTATCGCAGGGGACTTTGGCACCCAAGGAATTCTGACTTTCTGGGATTACACTAGTAATTCCTGACTGTACTCTGGACTTTATTTTGCTAACCATAATTGAGCAACTGTAAATTACTGCTATATTAATGTTTTAAAGCACTGGGATAGTCTAATTCTAACTTGTAATTAATTATGTTTGCCAATTATCTGTTTGAAATAAATTTGTGTCTGAACAGCTATTGAAACTGTTAAATTGTACAGATATTATCATGACAGCTTTGTACTGTGGAATGTGCTTAATAAAAAACAAGAAGTTTGACTTTTGTCCAATAAATTGCTAAGTAATGTCAATAAATCAAGTATGAATATTATGCAGTACACCTAATCTGGCTTCTTGCAATTGTTACTTCAGCTACTATTCAAGCCAATACTCTAATAAAGTGTTGCAATACTCTGATGTTCTGTTAAGAAACTGTTATGTATTATCAGGAATTCAGTGACATACCATTAAAGTTTATAGATTTAAAATCATCTGCTTTGTAAAATGAAGTTGAAGGCAAGGTATTTTTGACCTGTGAGAGCTTTGTAAAAGATGATACAATTCCTTGTCTTGGTGGCTTCTTTTGAAAGCTAACTTTCTCCCAGGAGTTGGGAAGTAATTCAAACCTCTTCCACAAATTTGCTTCCCCACTATTTAGTTGCTTCACAAGTTACTGGAAAGATAGGAAAATGGCCCCTTAGATGTCCCAAATGGTCTGCAGGTGAGTGGATTCCTGACTCCTTGAGGAAAAGCGTGGAAGTGTTAGAGGTGGCGTCACAGGCCATCTCTAACACTACATTGCACATATTGCAGGTAAATGTATCACTGGTTGAACATAAGGCAGAAGGAACAGGTAGTGTCTGCTTCTACTCAGAAGTTCTCTTGAATGGTAGCTGGCTTTTCCCTTTTAGTCTATCAGTAATGTGGACTTTTTAGATAAACTAAGAGTAGTTTGATATAATTGCTTCCTTCTTGTGAAAAAAGTTTTAAAATGTGCCATAGGCGTACAGTTAAGAAAACCAATCTATAAATAAAAAATATAAACTATAATGCTTCCTTTAATCCACTGCTCCAGTTTCTTTTGGGTATCCATTAACAGACACACTGTGTATAGAAGGGTGTATTTGTATGCACAAATATATACCCTGTGCAACAGAACCCAGGACCTTGTGCATGCTGAACACAACCTCTGTCACTAACCTGCACCCAGCCCCATTTTCCCCTGCAGGTTAGTAGTAGTGGGCTGTGCAGGCTATTTTTAAAATTACAGCATGTCCATACATGTAATTGTACCTCATTTTTGTTAGTGTCTGCATAGTGTTTGGCCATAAGGATGGACCGTAACTTCAGTTGCAGTGGAGAGTAGGGATTTAGTTTCTTGCCTTTCCCAATAGTGACTTTTGTTTTTCACAGGCCTTTCTATCCCTGGCTGTGCTCAGGGATATGGGTGGATCATTAGGAACAGGATCATTAGGTATCCATTCATTACCACAGAATGGGAGAGTAGGAGCTTGAGTGCAGAACTGGCTTCTAACCTCTCTAGTTCTGTTTCCGCTCCTTCCATAGTTGGTGCAGATGTGTTAGACTTTATTTCTTGAAAGGATGGTGTTGCAAGAAATTCACAGCCACAAATGCGTTCCATAATGATGGAGACTCAGGTCTTAGGGAACTCCTTGGGTATCTAATTACAGACTGAGGTAGTGTTTTGCTCTCCCCCTCCCCCTCTCTTTTGTGGTACTGGGGATCAAACTCGGGACTTTGTGCTTGCCAGGCAGATGCTTACCTTGCTGAGCTATCTTCTCTGGCCTTGCTTTACCACTTCTTTGTTTTCCAAATAATAAGATGGGAAGGTGGGCCATCTGGCTGATATCCTGGCAGTTTGGGTCTTCATTTCACTGTTTTCACTAACTGAAGTCTTTTTTTTTTTTTTTTTTTTTTTTTTACTAACTGAAGTCTGGGGGATACATACCCCAGGGTGGGGGATCTTGTAAGAATGCAGACCCAGTGATACTAATTCTAATTGTTTCAAGGAAAACCGGAAATTGCCACAGTGTGAATGCCCAGCTTAACAAAATTGGCAACTAATTTTTTAAAAAGTATCTCAGGCACGAGCTTGCCATCTTTGAACTAGTATGATTTTTTAACATTTATTAGTAACCAGTTCAAGTATTATATCCAAGTTCGAAGAATTAAAGAAGTTCTACAGAAAAGGGACAAATTACATGACGCATCATAAGGCAAAGTGAACAACAGAGTGACAGATGTTTATTGTTGGTAAAGCACCAACAGTCTCTGCTTAGATAACCAAAGAGTTCCCAGAAAGAGAATGATGTTTGAAAACAGGAGAGGCTTGAGACCCAGGAGCTGGTGGCCATTGTCTTCAGTTACATTGCGAGTGTTCAGAAGAGCTGCCAGCTTTTGTCCTGCTGTTGACTTCACCTTAAAACAAGGCAGGATTTAGGCCTGAGGTCAGCTTGATCTCCAGCAGGGTGGGCTGCCTCCTTCAAAGTATGCTAAACAGTTCACACTGAGCACCTGAGTACCTCACCATATACTGTACTGTAGGCGAGGGCAGTGGGCCAGATAAGTGGGAATAATATTACATTCAGCGTATTTTGGTTAGTTTTGTTGTTAAGGGTAATTCATGCTTAAAGGTAGTCAACCTGTTACTTCCCCAGGAAGGGTTCCCATAAAAGAATGACACCTTAACATGCCCCTGTCCTCAGTAAGTAGTTATCTCCACAACAGAAAGGGGAGAGCTCCAATCTTTAGTATATGTGCAGCTGATAGGTGTGGGGTGGTGAGGTGGGGAAGAGAGTGGTTAACACCAACTACAGCAAGAAGAAAAGCAGTTACCACTGTGCCAGGCCAGGGGAAGGGCTTTGCACACCCCCTAGCCCTTGTAGAAGGCCTGCATGGTTTGTATCATGACCTGTCCTGCTAGTGAGGCACTGGGCTTAGCTTTGCTTGTGGTCAGTCTGGGTGACCGCAGCTGACGTTTCCATAGGCTGCCCTGGCATCTCACTCTATGTTCTCCGGGCACTTCAATGCCAGCAAAGTCCACCCAAGGTGGCAGCCCCAGTTATGCAGTGCACACCAAAAGATACCCTGCCCATCTTCTGTCCTTTCCACTGGTGTGTCCTGGGAGTATGTTCCTCAGTCATTAATGATGTGTGTGAAGTGCCAGAAGCTGGCCAGCAAGACTGTGGGCCTTGTGGGCTGGGCTGAACAGTTGGCCTCATGCTGGGCACTGTGGGCTGGAAGGCAAGTGTGGAATGCTTGAGGTCTGGAAGGCAGGACCCAGAGAATGTGAGAGGGTAGCTCAAGGGGCATTAAGGAGATAGGGGCTATTGTAGTGAGGGTTTGTAAAGGAATGAATAATTTAATATAGGACATGTAACTTACAGAATTATTTTATAATACCCCAAAAGTCAAATGCAGAAAAATGGAAGAGGTCTGGCCATATTCTAGAGACCCAAAGAATCTAGCTGAGGGCCTAGATCCCATGGGAGTATCCTGTGCAAGTCTAGCTGAAGACCTAGAGTCCATGGCAGTGTCTAATGCAAGTCTGTATCAAGGATCTGCACTGGGAAGGCCCAAAGGCCAGTGGTGGAAGCTAGAAAGTTTGTGCCAACAGGATGAAGGATGTGTGCCAGTAGGCTGAGGCATCTACTCTGGAGCCAGGAAGCAGTGCTTGAGGCAAAGACCAGAGCATCCCCAGAGAACAACAGCCTTCCTCAGGGACAGCCAGGACCTGAGCTCCTCCTATGGTAACATCTGAGTTCCTATCAGGAAAACCAGTGTGACAAGCTTCTCGAGGAAAATCAACAGCATGCCACTTGTTCCTCCAGTTCTCTTTTTATGCAGTTGGCAACGATCCTCACGTGGGCCTTCCAACCCAGCACTGAACTGATTCGGTTCAGCTGGGTGTTCCAAGATGACCATTGGTTCATCCATTACCAGGAGTCATGGGGCTTGGCTGTGGAGGGGGTCAGAAGTGCTGTCAGGGGCACTCATGTTTAGTGTGTGTCTTCTATGCACCACTCTGTGCAACCATAGTGGAAATAATATACACAGGCGCTTGGCCCTTGGGATGCTTACATCTCAGCAGCTTTCAGTACCCAGTGATTGCTGCAGTGCCCCCAAACACTTGAGTTAACAAGATTATAGGAAGAGCTGTGAAGAGACAACATTGGGCAGAGTTTGGAGTAGGATGGGATGTTGAGCCAGGCCTTCAACGATGAGCAAGCTCTAGCCATGCAGTGAGCTAGGAAAAGATGCCACGCAAGCGGCAGAGGTACAAAGGCCTTCCTGGGGTGGGAATCCCTTGGAGTGAGCAGCTGATTCTGAAAGCATCAGGCTTAGCTAAGGCAAGGGGCTTGATTTGGAAAAGGAGACTGCTGAGAGGTGCTTTGATTTGGTAATGGAAGTGCCTGAGAAAGGGTGGGGGGGGGAGAGAGAGAGAGAGAGAGAGAGAGACAGACAGACAGACAGACAGACAGACAGAGAAGCTGAGCAGAGATACCTAGAAGAGAGACCAGTGGTAGCTTCTGAAGGGAGTTACCACAGGGACATTCACACTTAGGAAAAGGGGCCAGGAGATGCAGCCCACAGAAAGACTAGCGGGTGCGTGGCAAGAGCGGCTGTCTTCACAGGGCCCTCTGGATACTCCCAGAGCTTGGGCGCCCTCTTTCCAAACACTCTTCCCCACACTGCTCCGCCTCCTGGGGAACAATGCCTGTCCACTAATCACACCACAGGACACCTAATCCTGCTTCACACTTCTTCCCAGACAACACCATGCTCTCTGAGGGACCAGGACTCTGGCCGCAAGAAAAACAGGCGCCCGGGAACAGAGTCCTCAAGCCTTTGCCTTGCTCTCTGCTTTGGGAAGGTTCCCTGCAGCCCATCTGCACAAACAGACGGGGGCCAGGTCTGTGCCTCAGGAATGAGGAGATAAAAGGGACCATCGGGACTTTTTCCACCAAGGCTAAAGCATTTTATAGAACGGGCTGCGAGGTTTTGTTTCAGGAAATTTCATCATGTCTCCAGGAAGGGGAGGGGGGAGAAAAAGAGGGGAAAAGGTGAGGGGGAGGGGAAGGGAGAGAAGGAGAGAGATGGACAAGGAGAAAGAGAAGTTAATTGGCCTCAGGCTTTCTCACCCCCTTCTCAAGTTGGGAACACAAGGCGGCCAGGTCAGGCTCAGGTCAGCGACGACGTTTGGGCTCTTTAGTGCCCCTCTGTGAATACCTCATTTCTGTAATAGTTTTTCCTTTAAAAACAGCTCTGCCTTCTTTGGCAGATGGTGGCATTCCATTAGCATATGGAATATTTTTCAAAACACATCCGAAAGCATGTCTCTTATGGAGGAGACTGGGCAAAAGCAAACGAACGTTTGAAAAGCATGTTGGGAGCAG